TTTGATGGGAAAGAAGAAGCAAGCCACACCAGAGCACCCCCCAACCACCCACGACCCCGAGAGTCTGTCAACAGCTAAGCTAAGTGTAACTCTGGCATAGATAGAAGGAACAGAGGGGAAAAAGAGGGGGCTGAGGGTGGGGTTGGGGTCAAAGATTTTAGTTTTATTAAGAGTTTTACGGCACTTGCAACACAATAAGGTCACATAAGTGCCGAAGATTAATTGTGTTACAAGAGAGTAACAAACACAAAAAAGAACGAGGAGAGATAAGGACGACAGATATTAGATAGGGAAGAAAAAGCAAGCCACGCGTTGTTGTTGTTGTTGGTGGTGGTGTTGTTGTTGCTGTTGTTGTTGTTGTTGGGAGGAACAAGCAAACCAAATCAGCGACATGGGAGTCTTCTTGCCAGCGAGATCAAGCCGTCCGCATTACATCACGACTGTGCGTGACGTCACGGTTCAGCGCGTGCCAAGGGTAGTCGGTCGGTGTGACCAACACGGACCAGAGTTCGGTGAACCAGTTGTTGGAGGTTACTACTTGTTGTTGTGGAGAAAGAAGGAGCAAACCAAACCATAGCACCCGTGAACCACCAACTGCCAAATATTAGTATTAGAGGTGTCACTTGAGAGTAATGTAAATAAATACAAAGAATGGAAGGAAGAGATATATATAGCCGATAGATGTTTGATGGGAGAGAAGGAGCAAAAGCTCACCGACACAACAATGGTCATTTACGGCTAGGGGAAAAGTAAGACGAACAGACAAACAACGAAGGAAAGGAAAGGAAGTAGGAGCTTAGTTTAGTTTCAGTAAGTACTTGCAACACAAAAAGGTCATATAAGTGCCGAAGAACAGATGTGTTACAAGAGAGTAACGTATACAAAAAAAGAAGCAGGGAAGATAAAGACGATAGATGTCTGATAGGAAAGAAGGAGTAAACCACACCAGAGCATCCGCCAACCACCCCTAGGTAAGACAGGCATACAAAAACAACAGAGGAAAACAAAGGAAGTAGGAGCCACCAGCGGCGCCCTTGAACCACGAGCCAATCGAACAAATCAAGCCCAAACATAAACGAAGTTATTTATAGAACACCACAATAACATCCTATAATCTCTTCCGTCTCACTCGACCAAGCAACAACCCGCCTGAGGACACATAATCTGAACCCAAGGCCAAGGTCTTAACATACTACGCTTTATTGCCCACCACACACTGCGTTAAGAGAAGGAAGACAAGGTATTATACGGACTTGGCTGATTTCTCCAGCCGGCCTCATAAACCCTATATTATACAATCTTCTTCTCGTGGCTACATGCACGAGGCCTTGGTTTAGTATTAGTAGTAGTAAGAGTCTTCCGGCACTTGCAACACAACAAGGTCATATCAGTGCAGAACATGTTTTTAAAAATGTTATAATAAGATAATATAAGTGCCCAATATTTTTTTCTTTGTCTTAGTGTTTTACGGTACTTGCAACACAATAAGGTCATATTATAAGTGCCGAAGATTAGAGGTGTTGCAAGAGAGTAACCAACACAAAAAAAGAAGGAGGGAAGATTAAGACGATAGATGTTTGATAGGAAAGAAGAAGCAAACCAGACCACAGCACCCGCCAATCACCCACTTGGTGTAGTTTTAGTAAGAGTTCTTCCGCACTTGCAACACAATAAGGTCATTCAGTGCCAAGGTATTTTGTTGTTGTTTTAGTAGGTGGTTTACAGCACTTGCAACACACAAAGGTCATATCAGTGCCGAAGATTTTTGTTTTTATTTTAGTAACTGTTTTACAGCGCTTGCAACACAATACGGCCATATC